TCCACGGACCGAGCTACACAGGCAGCTCTTACTTATAACAATCCTGAAGAATGGTCTCTGTCTCACAAAGCACTGAGAGTTAACGGCTTATCCTTGCACAGAAACACAATCTGCTTCCTCTCACTTGGCCCTTTTGAAAGTTGCTGAGAGAGTAGGTCTTAAAAGTCATCATAAGAAAAAAAACACCTTGTAACTGTGTAGTGATGGCTGTTAATTAATTGTGGCGATCAGTTTGCGATATACACATATAGGAAATCATTATGTTGTACACCCTGAACTTATGCAATGTTGTATGTCAGTTTTGTCTCTCAACATCATGTTTGTGATATTCATCCACCCATTAGGTGTAGCATAGATTGTCTTCCAAATGTCTCCCCCTTTGCTAAATAGTGAAGCGTTTGCTCTTGCCTCATTGAAATGTGATGGGTTAAACGCAAGGCAGGAAGAAACAAAACTTCAACAGAGGCCAGCTTTCTCTCTGTGTGTAAGTTATTCTAAAGGGGAAGAAACCTAGACCAAAAGCCCAGAAGTTTAACAACTGTCTTGTGAAGAGGGGAGTGGGTACATCTCTTCTATTGAATTAACAGCATTTTGTTGTTGCTATTCCTTCCAAGAAGCCATTATTATTTTTTTTTTAATTTTTTTTGGACAGAGATTTGTAATCAGAGCCGGGCCCAGCTGTTAACAAGAGTCATGGCAGACATGAGGAGCCTGTGAGGCCAGGTTTGCAGTCAGCTCTGCGGTGCAGGAGGCCCCGAGCTCCTCCTCCCCTGCAGTTGCTCTAGGCGACAGGCAGCGCTGGTGACAGGAAACTCTGGTTTGGGGCTGAGGGGGCCTAGAGTTCTGGGGAAAATGAGGCATCCAGCACATGCCACACCACCTACTTCCTGAAAAGGGCTCAGAGGAAGTCACAACCACCAAGAACAGGGGAGGCTGAAGGGTCTTGCTCATATCACTGCGATACACTGGGGCACTGGCCTGAGTGATGCAGCCCAGGGCAGGGGAACGTCACTCCAATGGGACATTGTCAAGGTCTCTATTTACCTTTTATATTTTATTTTTTAAAATTTATTTTATTGATTTGTCACAGAGAGGAAGGGAGGGGGATAGAGAGTTAGAAACATCGATGAGAGAGAAACATCAATCAGCTGCCTTCTGCACACCACCCACTGGGGGTGTGCCCGTAACCAAGGTACATGCCCTTGACCGAATCAAACCTGGGACCCTTCAGTCTGCAGACCGACACTATCCACTGAGCCAAAACGGTCAGGGCTATCTTTTATATTTTATCTAGAAACAAAAAGTATCTCTCTCATCATTGATGTTTCTATCTCTCTCTCCTTCTCCTTTCCTCTATGAAATCAGTAAAAATATAGTTTTAAAAAAAGAAAGAAGGAAAAATACCCAGCTGGTGTGGCTCAAAAGTTGAGCATATGAACCAGGAGGTCCCAGTTCAATTCTGGGTTAGGGCACATGCCCGGGTTGCAGCTTAATCCACAGTGGGTGGCGTGTAAGAGGCAGCCAATCAATGATTCTTATCATTGATGTTTCTCTCTCTCCCGCTCCCTTCCTCTCTGAAATTAATAAAAAAAATAAAAAAAATAATTAAACTGATAACAATAGACGAAAAATCATGCCAAGGACGTGTTACCTGAAGAGTTGATAGGACACCATAGGAGATGCTTTTCTGTGGTTCCCAAACTTGGGTAAGTCCCAGAATCACCTGGAGCCACCTCCAGAGTTTCTGATTGGTGAGGGCTACAGTCTTAGAATTTGTATTTTTTAAAAACCTCCCCCAATAATGCTCATATCAGCCAGATTTTCCTTAAGCACAGTTGTTCATTTGAAAGCATTTGTTAAACATTTTATGTATTCATTCATTCATTCATTTATTGAGCAACTACTTGGTACAGTTCTGGGTTCCTAGGTACAGTAGGTACATGATATGGTAAAGTATCTCTAATCTAGTGGAAAAATATGTATAGGGCACTACATCAGGAGACTTAGTTTAAAAATGAAAGAAATCCATTATTGGTTAATGAAAATGAGTCAATCCATGTCATAATGGTCCTATACTTGTTAGATAAGGAGGCACTAATATACCCATGAAACAATTCAGCAGTTGTTTCAAACAGCATATAACACTTGTGTTACCTAAGGAGGCAAAAAGGACTTGATAAAGTAGCTCAGAGTATTAGTAAGGAGGAATGTTTCAACATCCAGGGCAAGCAGACTGTATTTAAATTCCTTCAAAGAACTGCTGTAAAATAGGAGTCATTTATAGCTCAGCATTCATGAGGCCATAGGCAATACTTCACCAACCAATGTGTGTGATTGAAAATAACAAAACTGCACTTGTTTTAACTCAGTATAATCCAGGTTTTCAATAATTTTGCACTCCTCTCAATTAGCTGAGTTTCACTATGTTATCCAATAACATAGGTTGGAGAAGCCAGGTGCCAGGCTGGCTACATATGGATCCCAAGTTTGACTGGAAAAATACAGATCCCCAGGACCTCAGGCTAGAGATTCTGACCTGTAGGTCTGGGGTGGTCCCTTGGAATCTGAATTTTTAAGTTTCCTAGTGGGTCCTAGATGGTTTGGCTCAGTGGACAAAGCGTCGGCCTGTGGATTGAAGGATCCTGGGTTCGATTCTGGTCGAGGGCACATGCCCGGTAGGGGGCGTATAAGAGGCAGCCAATTAATGATTCTTTCTCATCATTGATATTTTTGTCTCTCCCTCTCCTTCCTCTCTGAAATCAATAAAAAATCAATAAAAATCAATAAAAAAATGAATAAATAAATAAATAAAATTTCCCCAGTGGTTCTGTTGGGAACACCGGGAAAAGATTAAATGCTAAGTCAATGTGGAACCAAATAGAAACCAGAGTCCAATAATGACTCAGCTCAATTCCTCTTCTTCCATGAAATCTTTCTAACTCTGCTAGCATCTTCTCTGAACTCAGAGACCACTGCAAGCCTGCCTCATACGCTCATAGCTTATCTTAGATTGCCCTTGAAGTTTTTTTTTCAGAGTTTGTTTTGAAAATAAAACAATAGAGCCCAAAGCTCACTGAGCTCACAAATCCTAAGTATTTAGTCCTGTGCTCAGCAACATGGTGAGGTCCTGGAGTTTATATTAAGAAGTCCTCATAAAGGAAATGGTGCAAGTATACTATAACTGAGACAGGTGATCATTGAGACAGCCGGTATAACAGACTGTGTCACAATCATCACTGGTAAACACAGAGTCTTTTGGAGACTCCACAGACACCTAAACCTTCCCTTTTTGATGAGGACAAGTTGCCCAGGGGCAGAACATCTTACCTTGTCCTCTCGTTAGCTGCCTGCTAAGAGCAACTTACCCAAAGAAGAAAAACCCACGTTCGCTATCCCCAATATGGCTGTGGACTTTCCTTCTCCCCTCCCATTTTCCTCTTACAGATATTGTATTTGTTTCCTCTGATAGAATGAATCAATCTATTCTCAGTTTCTCTTGCGCAAAAGTAAACAGACATTAATAATAAACTCTGTGTCTTTAAATTATTCTTTGAAAATATTCGTCATCCTTCTACCTTCCCATCACAGCCTTTCACACCTTTCCTGACATCTTCCCAGGTTCCTTGTGTAAACTCCTAACCACTGTCCAAAATCATGGATGGTTTGGGTGGCCAATTATCCATTTGCCTGGGACTGGTGGGGGATAGGGGTGCCCCTGGGACACAGGAGTCTCCGTTTTACAAGTAGAACAATCCCAGGCAAGCCAAGACGAGTTGGCCATTCCAGCTTCATTCCCTTCAGGAAAGATTTGCATTTGATTCTTAAAGATAGGAAATACTTTCAAACCACAGCTGGAAAACGGTATATGATGACATGGCAAGAATAGTGTTGATATTTGGTATAAGGAGACTGATGCCTTCATTAACTCATGCCTACTGCCTACTGGTCTCACTGGGAAGGCTAGGGTTGGGCACTAGACATAGCATCATCTGAATTATTAGACTCGGATGGAGAGATTTTTCTTTAAATAGCTAAGGCCAGCACAATTTATTTTAAGTCAAAAGGCGGGTGAAGGAGACTTACTGTGTCCAAAAGGAGTTTTTCAGCTTTGTCTCGGCTGATACTCTTATTGTACCACCTGAAAGCAGGAAAAAGCCACATATCAAGGACATTTAAAATTTTTGATGATTTACTTGTGAAAGATAATTAATGCCAGAAATACCTCCAGGAGGGGGAATATGCATTTTTATTTGGCCCAGGCTTCACCATTCTATATTGCTGTACAGTCGGTTGGAATTTTGGGTTTGTCTCCTCCATCATAAATTAGGAGATTTGAATTAAAAGCAAAAACCAAACTTCCAAGCCTGGTGAGCATTTGGAATAAACGCATATTTCTTTCTACAGGCACTGCTTATTTAAAAAAGAATTCTATTCAAGCATGTTTTATGTGTTTCATTGTAGCTCAAGGATTCTTGGAACTGATGGCTCTTTTAGCTGAGGGGTGAGGTGATTTGTGTACTTCATCAAAATGAATCTCATATTGAGAGACTCTTCAGAAAATAAATGACAGCTCTTCCCTGTAGAATTTATTCAAATTTCGGCAGCAAATGACTTGACCGCATTTGAACTACTAAGAACCCACAGAAGTTAATAGAAGTCTTCACAGCTAGCATTCCTCAACCTTGGTATTGCATATTTGGTGAGGACTTAAAAAAAATTTTTTTAAAAATAATTTCAAGGGTATAGAAAAGTTGTAAGACACTATAAAAGAACTCCCATATACACTTCCCCCAGAGGAACCAATTGTTTACATTTGCTTTACCAGTGTCTCTGGATAGATAAATATATATTTTTCTGAACCATTTGAAAATAGACTTTTATTCCTAATGAATTTAGTATGTATTTTGAAGAAATAGAGTATACATTTATATAACCATCATGTAATTATCCAAATCAGGAAATCTAACAGTGATACAATACTATTATTTAATATCAGACTTTATTCAATGTTCATCAGTTGTCCCAATAATGTGTATTACAGCTAATTTTTTAATGATTCAGAGCCAATCCAGGATTACTGAATCCACAATTCGTTCCTCCAAGAACTCCTGGTCTGTAGAGGGGGAAGTGTGGTTTAGAAAACAAGATCCAGTGTGCACACTAATACTTCGGCGTTGTTGCTTCTGGGCCTTTCCGCAGCTGAGCCAGGAAATCTATGTACATATGGTGAGTACTCTGGAGGCTGCAATTTGATTGTATTAAACTCTAAGTAGTTCCACTAAAATAATATCCATGTGGGCTCTTCTAAATGATAGCTTGGAACAAACAACACAAGCTAAACAGATATTTAATACCTACTTGTCTGCTATTTTGGTATTGGACGTATGAAACCATGTTTTGAATCAGTTTGTATTTGAACCAGTGCTCATAGCGTTTTTTTCGTTCTCAGTTAAGACCAATATTCCCGGACTCTCAGAACCTTTTCCTTTCCTACAATCTGCATAGGCATCTGAGAAGCATCCTCTTGGTAAAAGGGCAGGTGAGCACACGCCCCCCTCCCCTTCTCCTATATAAAGTGTCCTTCTGCTGCTATTTAGGGATCAGAGTATGAGGAGAAGAAAGCAGGTCAAGAAGAGAAAATGCCTGGTGATTCTATCATCAACCAACAATTTGTTTCTAAACCAAGGAGGACTCCTTAGTACCGTATTTTTGTAAAATAAATAAAATATCTTACTCGTAGGTTTCCAGGTTATTTGCAGATTTTTCCACCAGATAGCTGCTTGGTACATATCCTTCGTGTCTGTAAAAGGGGAAATCAGTGTTTAGACCAATGGTTCTCAACCTTCCTAATGCCGCGACCCTTTAATACAGTTCCTTATGTTGTGGTGAGCCCCAACCATAAAATTATTTTCATTGCTACTTCATAACTGTAATTTTGCTACTGTTATGAATGGTAATATAAATATCTGATATGCAGGATGTATTTAGGCGACCCCTGTGAAAGGGTCGTTCGACCCCCAAAGGGGTCGCGACCCACAGGTTGAGAACTGCTGGTTAGACTAATAGAGGACTAATTTTCACATCTCCATTTTATAAGTTTAATTTGCTAAAAGTCCCTTAGAGTTGGGAGAGTCTCACATTATTTGGCATTACTGACAAGAGATTTTGAAGTTTGAGAATAAAAGCATTGCTAAAAAATAATAACAATCTACCTGTTACAGGCACTAGATTCACTACTGAAACATGAACCATACTAAATAAAACACCACTATTTTAGTTAAAACGTGCTGCTTGCTGTTCTCTCCTCAGTGTGAAAGTTCCTCTACTGGAAAAAAAAAGGTCAATGTGTGGTCTCTATTTTCTATAAGGAAACTTTTTCTGCATTTGATAATCAGTATCTTTTCCACTGTAATGCTATTATGCTACAGTCAGGAAACCAAAATAATTAAAATATAACAAATTACTATCCAACCACAGGTGTCAAAAAATACTGCCAGTCAGCATTGTAAGTTTTAATTCAAAGCCTCCCTAATATTCTTTGTTAATTGAGCTCCTTCAGACATAAATGGTAAAACATGAGAAAAAAGGAAAAAGTCATGTTGGACTTGGGGGTGGGCGTCCCTTTTGAGCAGGACTAAATAATTTTGCATAAACAAAGACATGCAGATTAAGGGACTAATACGCGCATCAAAATACTTCACATGTGTGTGTAGCTTTGTGCTTTCCAAAGCACTTTTACATTCACATTCACGATTGCATTTAATACCACAAGGTGAGAACAGTGTGCCTTCACTCTCTCGGCCTCTGACTCTGTACCTGCAACAAGGGACCTAAACTAGATTACACATACAATCCCTCCAGATTCTGCCAGTCTATCAAAAGATGTCTAACAGTTTCTTGCTTTTTTACTTCGTGAAGTGTTTTGCCATTTTTCAATCGAGTGATGATGTTTGTGGGGAATGTGTAATCTATTTCACAGAATTGTTTTGAGGTTTGAAGAAAGCAAGAATGGGGATGTCCATCATGGGATGATGATCTCATGTCTTGTGCCCATGGCTGACAGAGCTAGTCAGTCATGACGTGCTTTCTTTGGAGAATTGGACTTCCAGCCACAGAAGCCTCCCTAACACCTTGCTCATGGTAGTCAGTGCCAAGTGGTAGGAGTCAGCTTGTTCTGAAATTTGCTATTCCTTTTATATCTCTCTTAATATCTGTTCCTGCCACACCATATGTTCACAATTATAATAATAGGTCAAATACTATTTTTGCTTTCAAGTAGAATGACTGAGTTTTAACATGCCAACCAAAGTGGAGTTATCTACACGAGTGATGATAATTACCTTCACTCGTCTGTGGATATAGAATTTACAAAGACCTTTCACTTTCATCATCTCAATGATTTTTCTCAAAATTCTGAGATAGTCAAAGCTGATATTATCAGGCCTGGCCGGGTAGCTCAGTTGGTTAGAATACTGTCCTGATATGCCAAGGTTGTGGGTTCAATCCCCTGATCAGAGCACATACAAAAATCAACCAAAGAATGCATTAATAACTGGAACAACAAGTCTCTCTCTCTCTCTCTCTCTCTCTCTCTCTCTCTCTCTCTCTCTCTCTCTCTCTCCCTCTCTCTCTCCCCCTCCCTCTTTCCCTCCTTCCCTCTCTCCCTCCCATCAATAAATAAAGCTGATATTATAGTCTGCATTTTGCAGATGAGGAAATGCATTCACAGAGGTTAAGGGACTTTTTCCAAAGTCCTGTGCAACAAGAGCAGCTGACATTAAAGTGCAACTCCTCTGTCTTGCCACCTTGTGTACTTTCCATGATATCGCACTATTACAGAGCAAACGGGGAAATTCCCATATGCCGACTGGCCTCTGGGGTGTCCTCTTCATATCCCTTTGAAGTGCAGAGTTGAGCCTTTCCACAGGGCCCTGAACAAAGGGTAAACTGTCATTTGGGAAAGTGAGACATAGGAGAAGAAATTTCCTGGCACTTCAGGTGCTCATGAAATGTCAGTTGGTTGAAGGGATGGATTTCTGAGTAGGTTCCACTGCTGTTTGGAGAGCCAGGCAGTCTTGAACCTGGGTCTAGTACAGCCTTCCCATATGGGCACAATAGTGCTTCTTTGTGGAATAAATTGTCAGTCTCCCAAATGGTGGATGTTAATAGAAAAACTCAGGAGATTGTTAGATGAGTTTGGGGGCCCCGGAGTGCTTGCTGGGGTGCAGGGAGCAAGCATAGCAAGTGACTGCCTCCCAGCCACTTCTGAGAAATGGAAAGACACCCCTCAATGACTTCTTCCTTCCACTCCCTCTGCTGCTGCTCTCCTCTAACTCAGTGCAGTGGTCATGTTGACCGGCAGGACAAACTACCTCACCTCAAACGCTGGACAGCAACCAGAGAGGCCTTACCCATTCTTGTCTTGAACTCTCCACCAGTGAATCTCAGAGCTGTCCAGCAGGTAGTACTCATCGTTGCGCTGTAGCGTGAGTTCCTGAGGGTCGTTCGTTTGGTAGTCATACAAGGCAATGACCAGGGTTTCTTCATGCTCCTGAAGTGATCGCTGGAGGAAGAAGACAAAATCAAACAAAGATGTAGGAAGGAGGTAAACTGCAGAGCGAGGTCAGCAAGTACTTGAGCTATAACTTGCTCCTGGGAGGGTGCCAGGTCAAACCTCAGTTCCTACAATCCACTGGGGTATTCTCCGAGACAATTGCCTTTCTCTAGTTGTCTCTCTTTATGTGTTAGGATCACGGTACTGAATATGACACAAGGACATTCAATACCTGGAATTCATCACCCCTCCCATTCTACAAGGTGAATTCCAACCACAGTGAATTCCAAGTAGCCACTCACATTTCACAAAAGCCTGCTGATTTCTCCATTTGTACCATGTCACATGTTGCAGCCTCTCTGCTGGAAGCATGACATTCTTGGTGAAGGTGATACAGCCAACACTAAATCATTTAGCCCATGCTTCTCTGATTTGATTTGTGGGTTTGTCCAGATCCATAGACTCATAAGCTGGAATTCCTCTTAGAGGTCATGCAATTCACCCTTTTGTTTAGAATGGGGAAACTGAGGCCCAGATGGAGTAATGGATGTACTCAGTTTAGCACTTGAATTAGTCTTAATGCTCTTTCCACTATAGTACACGGGCTCCCTTCTTGTAGGTTCTGTTGCCTATGTCTCTACTTTTTAAAAAAATATATATTTTGTTGATTTTTTACATAGAGGAAGGGAGAGGGATGGAGAATTAGAAACATCGATGAGAGAGAAGCATTGATCAGCTGCCTCCTGCACACCCCCTACTGGGAATGTGCCCACAACCAAGGTACATGCCCTTGACCGGAGTCCAACCTGGGACCTTCAGTCTGCACGCCGACACTCTATCCACTGAGCCAAACCAGGCAGGTCTGTCTCTACTTTTTAATACCTTTCTTAGGATGAGAGATTGAGGACATGAAGAAGAGACTGTAAGGCTGACAAGTCCAGGATGGGCACACATGCTGCAGGCTGGCAGATTTAGTGAGAGAGTAAATTAGGGAAGAGATTGTGATTACTGGCTAGAACGAGATTGTTGTTATAAAAGTCAAAAATTCTCTGAGTCCTTGAAGTATTTGGTAGCATAAAAATACTAGCGCTTAAAAGAGAGGAAAAAAAAGAATTTTTTTTTTTGTGTGTGATCCCAGCTGTGCCCAGAATGGAATTTGAAGCCTAGCTATTTATGAAGCTTGTGAGGTGGTACATTGGCTTCCTTGAAGTAGAGTTGATGGGCCTGAGGCTTTTGCCCTAAGAAGAAGGAGTTGTGACAAGGGCATCTGAAGGTAAAGGCGGGATATAACTGTTCCACGGTCTCTCTCACACAGAGCATCAGGCCTGTTAGCTCAGACTGGATTAAAAATACATATAGCACCTCTAGATGCCCATTCAAGATGCTGTCACCCATTAGGGGACAGAGCACAAAAGTGAAGGGAGAAATAAATTCAAGTGGTTCAAGGTAAGAAATGTTGCAATGGATTTAAACCTGTGGTTGAGAGTAGAACAACGACCGCAAAGGCCATGTGCTCTGAAAAGTCTTCAAGAGCCAAGTGGCAGAATCCAAGGAGAGCGGGGTGGGCAGTGTTTTCTTGGATAGTGACAATCAGACAAGGGCAAACTAGCTTAAGGCGTAGAGGTGTGTGGGTTTAGATGAGACTGGGGGGGAAACCATCTGCGTGCCAGGGTGGTGAGATTCCGAACCATGTCTTCAAGAGATGCGGTGAAATATCTTTAGAAGATCAATGAAAAAAAGAGGGAGAAGAGCTCATTTTCTGCTACAACTTAACACACTGCTTTCCTGTTGTGAGGGATGAGGCCGATGACACAGATCTAAAAACCAGCCTGAGGTTTTGAGCGATTTAAAACTTCTCTGATGAGGACACTGCCAGTTTCTGAAATGTCACCGTGTGGAGGGAAGCAGCAGAGCTCATCCTTTGGGAAGAGCAGTGAGGAAGCAGAATCAGTAGGTTCTGGAATTAAAGGGCAAGTACTAAAATGTGGTGTTTGGTATTGATATGATCATAAGGGGCAGGCTGATCTTTCTCCTTTTTTTTTTTTTTTTTTTTGTCTTCTTGACTAAATAGCTTCCCCAGAGTTGACTCAATATCACTGAAATCTTGGCCAGTGTTTCTCAAACTTCAGTGTGCCTCAGACTCACCTGGAGCTTTGTTTAAATGCATATTGCTGGTCCTCTTCCCCAGGGTTTTGATGAAGTGGGTCTGGGGAGGGGCCTGAGAGTCCGCATTGAATTTCTAACAAGCTCCCAAGTGATGTTGATGCCGCTGGTCCATGGACCAGACTTTGAGAACCATCACTCAAATTAGAGACCACCCCACCAGAAACTCTGCAGCCTACTGGTTTGACTCCCAAGTGTCTGAATGGCCTTGGGGGAGTCCCAACATGTCTCTTGGGACTTGATTTCCTAAGCGTTAGGAAGAGAATAAAGCCTTACCTCTCTTGAGCAGCTAGAACTCCTAGTGAGTTTTGAACTAGTAAAAGTGCGGAAGTGCTTTGAAGGATATAAAGTAATATCAAATACATGCTTCCAGAGTGCCTTTATGTAGAACGATCATGCAATTTTACATAGAGTAAATATGCAAGTTTATGTGGATGTGAGCGGCTATTATACTCCAAAGTGGTCAGGTGGCTGGGCACACCATTTAATACAGTAAGTGTTTGTTGAGTGGACAAAGTGAGGTGAAGCTTTAGCAGCTCAGTGGCCCATTTACATGGACAGACCCACGAGACAGTTCAGGCCCAAGAAACCCAGTGTGCTGAGTTCAGCTGAAGCACGACACTCTACTGGTATTGCCTTCACAGAGGGTCTGAGGAATCCGGGCACGCAGGAAAATGCAGACGGGAGCATGCCAGTCAAGCAGCCCGCAGCAGTGGGCCCACCCTCACCCGGCGCTAAAGGTTTCACTCACCCTGTTGTCTTCAGGAGTAGGAGGAAGAGGCTTCTTTGAAGCTGAAATGAGAAAAACAGAAAAAGAAAATGAGCCTAAAACTGAACATCCCCAACCGGAGGTGAGCCGTCGGGGGCTTTTCAGAGAAAAGGGGCCCTCTTTGAGGAGAACAGCAGGAGAAAGGGGCAAAAAGAGCCGGTGAGACACAGAAATACAAAGACCGACCCTGGTAGAACCTCTGTTGGTTCTCCCTCAGCCTGCTGGTTCACCGTGTCATTCTAGGAGACGCCAGGAACTTCTGGAAGCCAATATTCCAGGCCTCTTTTTCTGTGTTCCCAGGCAAAGCCTAACCCCAAGGTTGTGACAGGGATTAGGCTTGTGTCCTTCCTGGAGGCTTCCATGATGGCACCTGCTAAGCCCAGGAGTGGGAATGGCTGACTCAGGGGGACAGTGACTCACTGGCTTCCTGATGCTGTTGTGGGCTAGAGGAGGAGGTGGGAGAGGGGGCGGCCACCAAGGCTGAAATCCACTTTTAGTTACCTTAGGGCCTCTGAGTATGTGTTTTTGCTGCTTCCTCCACACAGCACACACCAACACCTTTCTTGATCTCTCCTCTCTCCATTCCTTCTGTCCTCCTTTCTTCTCTCTTCTTTCTCTTTCTTCCTCTCTCTTTCCCCATCTCTCAGCATTTCTCTTTTGAGACCCTGGAAAGTCAGGCCTGGAATCCATGGACCAAGTGTGCATGTATGGGTGGCATATAAGAGGCCGTTCACAGGCTTCTGCTCAATTCAAAGACTTCTCTAACAATCAGAGATAAGAGGGGACTGGGCTGCATAAGTAGGTGGTGAGTTGCTCATCTCTGCATGAGGCTGACTTGATGTTGGGCAGCCTGTGTCAGGGATGTGGTAAGAGGAGGTTCACCTCCTTTTGTGCTAACTGCTTGAGCACGGGCAGGGTTGGGTATTGAGTATGCAATTCACAGAGAAGAGGGAAAACTGACATAATAGGAAGCATGCTTCTTACTCAGCATTGAACTTGGAGCCAGGAGCCTGGCATTCTCACCCCAGCTCCACCACATACCAGCGGTGTGGCCTTGGGCCCTTCTGGCCCTGAACATTCTGTGACTGATCTCTTTCTTCCTCCGGCCTTGTTCTTCCCTTCCTTCCTTGCCCTCTGTGTGAAGTTGGTATGTGGTGAGATCAAGGCCAGTTCTGGTTGCAAAAATAAGTGTTGCTGTGGGTTGGGTACAGCAGGGTCCATTTTTACTCAATTACCTCTCCTGCTTCCCAGACATACATACACATACTGTTATATCTCAGCTGCATTCTCGGTCCACAGATAAGAAAGACTAGTAGACACATGGCCATTTATGGAGAGCTCAGTAACTGCCAGAAGCTGTGCTAAGAGCTTTGCATAACCCAACAACCCCACAAAGTAGCTACTTATAATCATTGCCCCCATTTTATAGATGAGAAAACTGACTCAGAGAGATGCAGATAGGTTAAGTAACATATGTAAAGTCACATAGCAAGGAAGTGATGGGGCTGGGACTCACCCCCCGCCCAAGTGTTTTTCACCCCTGAGGTCTGTGGAATTGGATCCTTCCCTGTATGTGTGCCCAACACAGGAATCCTATGAGACTTCGCCCAAAGCTAACGATCATGTGCTGTGTGCACAGCGTGGTATGTTCTCAGACTCTTCTCTTAGCTCTGTCAAAGCCGTGGTGCATAGCTATTTAAAACAAGTCTAAAAGAGTATAAAGAAAGCATGGTCAGGTGGGGACATGATCTAGGTGGCAATGCAGAAGCAGGACCATTGGCAAAGTGACTGCTGTGGGTTCATGTGGGGAGAAGCTCAGTATGACCAGCCTCCCAGGTGTCATCTGGTGAGTCATTCCGATGGTTCTCACACCTCAGTCATGTGTCCACCACTCAGTGGAGGGAAACACTGCTCACCCTGAAGCGATACAGCTGTGACATGCATGGTGGAAACAGCAAATGGAAACACAGATTCAAAGAATTTCAAAAATGGAAAGGGGCTTAGAGAATACTTCAGCTTAGGCCCTCTAAAGCTTCCCTGACCATTTCAGAGATAAAGATGTTAGGGTCCTTCATTGGCCAAGTGACTGATCTGGGGGCCCACAGCAAGGTGCTGGCAGGAATTTGGACACCAGATTCCTGGCTTTGGGAAGGGTTTTCACTCCCTGAGGCCAGCCCATGCCACCCTGTCATTGTGGTCAATTCCACCCATATAAAACCTTCCATTTCCTTTTCATTAAATACTCATCATCTTCGTGAGTATGGTCAACGGGGCTAATGCAGAGGATCATTGATTTCTAAAATTAGATAAACAGTATTCTTCTGGGCCAAGGGACTGGTAACCTTGAACTTTCTCTTCCAAGGTGGAGGGTGAGAAGCAGTGTTTTTTAAACTGGTACTAAAATGGGCTATGACTCAGGAAGCCACGGAAAATCCAGCCATGTGTCACATTTAACACATCCGCCTTAAGTTGTCAATCTGAGGTATTAGGTTTTAGTGCAAAAAAAAAAAAAATTGACAGATGAGAAAAGGTAATTGGACTGAGAGGTTGAGAGGTAAGCGGAATGGGAGCAAAAAATTCCATCATTCCTCTTCAACAGTGGCTTTGCAGAATACTTCCTCGCCGTGTGACCTTGAGCATCCTGAACCCTCAGTCCCCTCTTTCTTTAACATCACATCGTCTACCCCAGGAATGGGAGCATATTGCATATAAAAGTGCATCAGAGTGGAGCTGCACTTTATTGGGGGTTCAGGTCTCCAAGTCATCACATAGAGTAAAATCGAGTTGCACCCCCATCTCCAGGATCTGAGCCCTTGACCTCGCAGGCCAAGCAACAGTTTCTTTTGTTTTCACTTTGCATGTAAGCTGTGGCCTCCTTTTCTCTGACATTGCGGAGGGCCAGGGCAAGTTTGAAGGGGAAGTGGGGAGGAGCCAGAGGGCAAAATAAGCTGTTGTTTTGTTTTTACTTTCTTCCCTCTCCAAGTGTATAGAGTTGAACTTGTGTAATTAATACTGTGTGATGTGATGACTCTATAAAAAATAAATATAATGGGGGGAGGTAAGAGATCAACCAAAGGACTTGTATGCATGCATATTAGCATAACCAATGGTCATGGACACTGGGGCGGTGGGGGTGTGTCCTGGGGGAGGTGAGAGTGGCCTGGGAGGGGTCAATGTGGGGGAAAGGAGACATATGTAATACTTTAAACAATAATAAAAAAATATTATATACATCTTAAGGTGTTCCTAAAATTTAAGATTTAAGTAGACCATGCCATTCAAATTTGCTAACTTGGAAGTTATAGCCGTGCTTCTCAAACATTACTGTGCATACTAATCTCCTGGGGATTTTGTTAAAATACAAATTCTGATCCAGAAGACCTGGGATGGGGCCAGAGAATTTGCATTTCTAACTAGCTCTCAGTTGATGTTGATGCTGCTGATCCAAGGACCACCCTTTGAGTAGGAGGAGGTATAGAGATGGATAAAAAGTCAACAGACCCGATAGTAGAGGCAAGTGATTTTCCTCTGAAATTTCTAAAAATGTAGAATTTGCATCCAGTCTCTGACACCCCTGATGTCGGAGAAGCTGAGAGCTTTTACTTCCTACCAATAGCGAGGTCATGCATTTTACAAAGAAGAGCATTTCCAGTGTCTTACCATTTTTGGTTGGATCG